GCGCAGTTCTTCGAGCTTAGCCTAGAGCGTGGCGGGGAGACAGTGTGCGCGCCGGCGTATGGTCTATGTGCGCACCTGCGTCCCAGGGACCCTAAGATCGCCTTGATCTTCGGCGCGAGCTGCAATGGTGGCATTGTGCAACTGGACGCCCTTGGCGGGAAGTGCGTCTTTTACACGGCATCGTCATTTCTGAAATCGCTCGTTTTATCTGCCCCTCAGCCCCTCGGCATGGACACGTCTGTGGTCCTTCGGAAGATCAATTCCCTATTTACGGACGGCATGGCCCCCCTGGCCGCGCAAGTGGTGGCCGATCTCTCCGCCAAGCACGTCGTCGTCCCCTGCGTTGTCTCCCCGAAGAAGTGGGCCTCGCCCGCTGCGAGAGACGAGTCAGGGCATGCGGGTGAGGGAGGCGGCGATCTGTTTGATCCTGCGACGAAGAAGTTGATAGATCACTTCGCTAGTGCGTTTGAGAAATCATCCGTGGCCACGGTTGCGTTGTCTGTACTCGGCAACCTTGGTGCGTCCGGCGACGATGACTCCAACGATGATAGCTCCGAGGACGGCGACGTCGCGGGGTCTGATAAGTACCGCAACTTCCTCGAAAAGGCTGGCAAGAAGTTGGTCTGGCGGGCTCAACTCGAATCCAGACAATCGGGCGATGGGGGGGAGAGGAGGAGGACGAGGAGGAGGAGGAGGAGGCGGAGGATAAGGAGGAGGAGGAGGAAGTGGAGGAGGAGGAGGAGGAGGAGGAGGAGGAGGAGGGGGAGGAGGAGGGTGAGGAGGCGGAGGTGGAGAAGGAGGAGGAGGCGGAGGAGGAGGAGGAGGCCGCGGCCACGGGCCCCCCAGGTCCAGTTGACGAACATCTTCTCCACCGCGCCGAAGGAGGAGGAGGCGGAGGAGTCCGAGGATCCCGAGACGCCTGGCGCCCCAGGCTTGGCTCTCCACAGGGCGGGGAGGACATGCCTGCCTGCCGTGAATGCTCACCCCTCGCCCGCTCAGGGAAGTTGAGCTTTGGGGGGGAACCAGGAGAGGTGGAGGAATGGGTATATGGGGGAGAACGACGAGGGGATATTCGAATGACGATGCAGATAGGATGATAAGCGTTGGTAGCCCTCACCTCCCCTAGTATGACTCTCTTTCTCTCTCTGTCTCTCTCTCTCTCTCTGTCTATCTCTCTCTCTCTCTCTCTCTCTCTCTCTCTCTCTCTCTCTCTCTCTCTCTCTCTCTCTCTCTCTCTCTCTCTCTCTCTCTCTCTCTCTCTCTCTCTCTCTCTCTCTCTCTCTCTCTCTCTCTCTCTCTCTCTCTCTCTCTCTCTCTCTCTCTCTCTCGTCTCTCTCTCTCTCTCTCTCTCTCTCTCTCTCTCTCTCTCTCTCTCTCTCTCTCTCTCTCTCTCTCTCTCTCTCTCTCTCTCTCCCTCTCTCTGTCTCTGCAGTTGCGCGTAGATGTGTTTGTGTGGTGCCTCCTGCTCTTTCGTATGTGCTTTAGGCGTTCCCCTGCCTCTCTGCTCGTCCCTCGCCGTGCTCTGGCCCATCTGCTCTCGCTTCCGCCCCTGGATTTCTGCCTCTCGCACCTCCTCTACCTTCTGATCGCTCGCCCCTGATCCAGCGCTCCTCCGCGCCTGGCGAGGCCCACCTGCTGGCGCCGCTGGTGGAGGCGGCGCATGCGCTGGAGGTGGAGACGTTGGAGGCCCGGCCCCCCCTGCCGGAGCTGGTGGCGAAGCACCGCCAGATCACCCTCCGCCGCCGCCCCCGCCCCCGCCAGACGCCCCTCGCCGGCCTCGCGAAAGGCGTGGCGAGAGGTACGGGCGCTGGACAATTGCCCGAGTCTGCCCGGAGGAAGGGGTGCAGACGGGGTGGGGGGCCCGCTGCCTCGAGCATAGTAACGGCCCTCATGACCATACACAGTGCCAGAAGAATTTGAGCTTTAGGGGTAGGAGCAAATACGATCGAGTACTGACGGACGAGGAATGCAAGACCCAGATTAAGCGCTGGCTTTTACACGGCGCTCTTATCCCCCCTGGTCCAGATTCTCGGAAGAAGCATCTCGACTTAGATGCCAGGACACTAGGGCCTGCATCAGTCCCCGAGGATCTGGACAACCCACCTGCGTAGAAGTGGAGCACAGGGGTGAGGGAGCAGCTGTTAGCGTCATTGTGCAGCCTAGGGGATATATGCAGGTGGACTGTGCCCTCAGTCCATCAGAGGTTGCTCACTCCTGATGCCGTGGACATCGCGTGGCTTAGCCGACGCTTGCGCCAGCGCTCGGAAGAAATGGCATGCGCAGTCGCGCTGCCAGCGAATCTATTCTCCAGCCCTCCTACACTTCTCCTAGCCCTCCTCTTGGGTCACCTCCTCCGAGCTTCCTCGGAAACTCCGTCTAGCCCCCTCCTGAACCTCCTCTCAGGGCATCATGGAGCGAGTCCTGACGTTTGCGAGGCGGGCTGATTTGTCGGTAAGATAGCGCGAATGCTTGACGCTTCGCGTATCTTTGGAATCCACCAGAGCCCAGTCTGAGGGCGTTCTTGGGGCCTCTTGGGGCATCTTGGAAGCTTGGGCTGTCCTGTACTAGCTTCGAGGCCATCTCGGGCTCTCCGAGATCTTGGAGCCGTCTTGGGCGAACTACTACCGTGTGACACCTCGCGAACCCCGCCCCCTCCCCAGGTCCAGAGGAGGGGGTAGGGGGAGGGGTAAACGCTGCCCCGCAGGGGCAGAACGGGGGTTGGAAGAGGAAACTCTCTACACCACCTACGCCCAGAGGCCTGGTGGGATACGCGGTGCAGCAGTGAATCCAGCCGTGGTCGGCGGCTAGGGGCGCGCAAAGCGGACGTGTCCGTGGTGGCGGGTCCAGCCAGGTAGGCATTCGGATGTCTTGGCCAGACCATGGCGGTGTTGCAATCGTCGTCGTCGTTGCCGTTGTCGTCGTCGTCGTCGTCGTCGTCGTCGTCGTCGTCGTCGTAGTCGCCGCGCCGTTTGGCTGAAGACCGCTCGCGGGCAGCCCGCCCTTGTGGTGTCGGTCACCAACGGTCTGCGCATCGGCCGCGTGCGGTCGTTCAAGAGCAGCCATGCCGCCCAAGCGGAAGGTCGCGAAGGCGGCTGGTGATGACGCCGCTTCCGAGGACCCCATCAACCCAGAGCCCGCCGATGAGCCCAGGCCGAAGACCAAGGGCAGACCAAAGAAAGAGTCACAGCCTCCCGGAGATGCCGAGCCCAGACCGAGGGCCAGGGGCAGGGCCAAGAAGCAAGCAGCAGACCCTGGCGAGGCCCTCGCCGATCCCCAGACCAAGGCCGCAACCAAGGGCAGGGGCAAGGGCAGGGGCAGGGGCAAGCCCAAGGCCAGCGCCGCTGCCACGCCCGAAGCAGAGGTGAACGGGCAGGCCGCCAGTGCAGCTGATGGTGCCGGTGGGGAAGCCGATGGACCCGATGGAGATGCGGCGGAGATGGACTTGGAGAGGGAGCTCGAGGGGCTGCTGACCGACGACAACGACGCTGGCGACGCCGCGGAGAGCGTCGGCTCCGCCGACGCCGAGGTCCTCGAGGGCGACGATGCGATGGGCGAGCCCCCCGAGCCCGAAGCTACCAACTCCACGGACATGGTACCTGCAGGAGGTGAAGGCGCAGTGACGCCTACACCGCGCATGTCGCTGCAATTGTGCAGCACTGAGCCGATGATGCAAGTCGCCCCGCAGCCGCCCACTGGCGATGCCGGCGCGCTAGCGCCGGTGCCGACCATGCAGGCGAAGATGCCCGACTTGGCTTCGCATGTGTTCAGTTGGTCGCAGCCATCTCATGAGCTGGCAGCGGGGAGCGCCACTGACGATTGCGATGGCGCTACCTTTGCGAGCCCCCAGGAGCTCGACGATCGTGAAGGTGCGCGCTCCGGCCCGTCAGCGCTAGCCTCGGCAAGCCAGACCGCTGCGGCGCCAAGCGACCAGATCGTGATCAGCGACTCGCCTGATGCCAAGCCGCGCGAGAGCTTGCGCTCAGTGCAGGAGGGGCAGCTCGTCGACATCGGGAACGACAGGCAGAGTACCGACGTCGACGATGGCATCTTCAGCGGCGTCGACATTGAGGGCATCATGGGCGCATTCAGCGGGGCTGCAAGGCTTGAACCCCAGCAGGCGCGCGGCTGCGCTAAATCATTCGCTCTATTGCTTTTCAGTTCATGGATTATTGTTATAACTATTATTAGTATTCTTTGTTCTTGGTTTGTGTGTTTTTGGATTCTTGGCCATCCTGTGACTTGCAGGATGGGTGTCGCCAACAATGAGTTCTTGGTGACATTGACCAATATATAATATGCACACAGTATCGCAGATCGATTTCTTGGCGCGCACATTGCAGGATGGTTGGTTTATCCAGCCGTCCTGCAACTTGCGGGATGCCAATAAAGCCAAGAAGTCAACCAATAAAGAGAAATAAACACGCGACTAAATCAAACAATTGCAAAACGGTTAGAACACTTTGTGAGCAAAGAGCGAGTGTGAGGGCTGTATCTTCGGATTGGAGTCGTTTGCCAGCCCCCATGGTGGAGTCATGCTGTGAGTCTGCGCACGCATTCTGTCGCCCTGGGCTCCAGAGAGCTCCAAGAGGGCCCAGGATGGCTCCAAGAGGGCCCTAAGCCAACTCTACGGAGGGAGCCAAGAGGGCCTCATCGGGGCCTTCTGTGAGCCATACAGTATTGGGCACCCCCTCCCGGCGGGCTTCCGCCCCACGAGGGCGCCCATAGGAGCCCCGCTGTTGCCTTGGACGAGGGCCGTCAGTCAAAGTCTACGCCATAGGCCATAGGAGTGACGTGTTGTTCTTGGTGGGGGGGGGGCCCTGTCAGTGCCATTCAGGGGCCTTGTTCGGCCCTCTTGGGGCCTCGGGAGTCCGTTGTAGAATGCGGCGGACACGGCCGTCGCCAAGGTATCATGCGCTCGTGTTGTGTTCTGGTCGTCTTGGATCCCGCTTGAGGCCCGAAACGTCATATGGCTGCGTCCCGTGTTCGCGCCTCTCCCACAGGCATGTTGCACGGGCGGCCCCAACTCGGGTGAGGCGAACCAGGGCGACTTGAAGCGGGCCAAGCAGGATATCCAGAAGCAGCTAACTGCTGTAGACGTTGTGCGGGATTCTACTAGAGCATGGTTTAGCAACATGCGGCCAGAGCAGATCCTGCGGGTGGCTCGGGCCGTGCAGAATCTTGGCAAGGTGCGCCTCACATCTGGTACTGGGTTCTCTGGCACTGACATTATCCATCACGTGGAGGCGCAGGTGCTTAGTCTATTTCAACAGAAATGGGGAGCCCACGTGCAGATCAGTCACGAGTTTGCCTGCGACATTGGCGAAACGCAGAGGGACTTCATTATGGCGGAGCATAGCGAGGTGAAGTGGATCTTCAGGGACGTGGGAGAGCTGCTGGAACCGAGAGCCAAGGACATGAAGTCGGAGGACTTTCAACTGGTTCCCCCCGTTGATATCTTCGCGGTGGGCCCCCCTTGCGTGACCAAAAGTGGCTTGAACCGCTCCGTGACCGCAATGGAGCGGGAGTCGGCGTTGCAGAATGGCGAGGGGAAATCGGGCGAAGGCTTCAGGCTAACTTTCTCTTGTGTTGAGAAGCTCTCTCCGGCGCTCGTGCTGATAGAGAACCTCGACAAGTGCGAGTCGGACACCATGGTGGACAGGTCTGACGCAGACTGGATCATTGACACCCTGCAAGGTATGAATTACACAGCCCGGAGTTTCGTTACGCAGGCCATGGACTATGGCTCCCCGTGCTCTCGCAATCGCCTGTACGTCGTGGCCATCAGGAACGTCGGCGAAGCTGGGGTGGAGGCGATGGACCTGATCACGTCTCTTATTGGCGTCTTCCAGACAGAGCCGATCCCAGTGTCGCTCATCTTGGGTAAGTTCGTCGACCTCCCTGATGCTCCACCAGATCACCCGTCGTTCAAGAGGGCGAAGAAGGCTTCGGAGTTCCACCAGGAGCACTACGAGATCTACACTGCGTACAAGGTCCAGTACCCCCCAGATTACTCCCTGAAGTCTCCGCAGTTTCTTGAAGGGTGTCAAACCCTCTCCGCGAAGCAGATGGAGGTGGTCCACTTTGCAGACGAGACCGAGCCCTGCGAGCCATATCCGAAGATCCAGTGGTTCAATGTGAACTTCTCCTTGACAGCGTTAAAGAAGAGCGCCACCACGACCATATGGAGGGACACGCTCCCATGCCTAACCTGCAAGGCGGTGATTGTTGGCCGGCAGCTGCAGCCTGACAAGGAGACTTGTATCTGGAAGGTGATTCAGGGCATGGACCTCTTTCGTCTTCAAGGCTTCGTCGAGTTCGAATCGACCTTCGTGGATGAGATGTGCGTCACGGAGGTCCGCACGCTGACGGGCAACATGTTCAATTCTTCACGCTTCGCGTACTCCCGCTAGCCCATTCAGAGGCCCTGCCCATGACAGCTGACGGGAAGTGGAAAGAAGAGACAGAGGAGGGTGATGAGGGTTTTGAGCATTCGTGGATGCCAGTTTGGAGCATCTTCGTCCTCCTCCACTCTTTCCTCCTCCTCATTCTCATCATCCGCCTCAGCCTCAACACCAGCTGCAGCATCAACAGCGCGAGAACGGAGGGAGGAGGAGGGGACGGAGAGGCGAAGGCGGATGAGGAGCAGAAGAAGACAAGGTGGTGACGGCGAAGGCGGATGAGGAGAATCAGGAGGAATATGGGAGAGAGAGAGAGAGAGAGAGAGAGAGAGAGAGAGAGAGAGAGAGAGAGAGAGAACAAAGGCCGTCTTGGGGGAGCCGTCCTGGTTGGCAGTCTAGGAGGGGCAATCTTGGGGGAGCCGTCTTGGGGGAGTCTGGGGGGGCCGTCTTTGGGGAGCCGTCTTGGGGGCGCCGTCTCGGAGGAGCTGTCTTGGGGGATTGTCTTGGTGGAGCCGTCTTGGGGGAGCCGTCTTCGGGGGTCCGTCGTGGGGTGCCCCGCAAGGTTTCCAGCGCCTTTCAGGGCCCAGGGCTTCTCTGGACCCCGAGGGCGACCTAAGGGTCCACAGCCAGACTCCTGAGGCCCCCCCACGGTATTTGGGGCCGCCGCCGCCGCCGCCGCCGCTGCCGCCGCCGCCGCCGCATTCGGAGTCGGGCCCTCCGCGTCGGCCCGGCTCCGAGGGCCCTCCGAGGCCCCCCAGCGGGCTCTCGGATTTGGGCACCCCCACGGCGGAGCCCAGCGGCAAACGCTTTGCCTCAAAAGACCGAGTCGAATGCCGGCCGGGATTGCCCTGGAAAGCTCGCGAGGCTTGCAGCTGGAACGGTCCCATTGGATCTGAGGCTCCAGGATGCCTCACGGGACCTCAGGCCGAAAATCGCCCACCCCCTCTTCTTATCCTCCTGGGCCCTGGTGTCTGGTTCCCGCGGGCTTTCTCTTGGGGGCCGTCTTGGGGAGGCCGTCTTGGGGGTGCAGTCTTGGGTAGGCCTTGAAAGGTGTCCAGGGGTTCTCAGGCTTCATAGGCTCTCGGCCCCCATAGATTCAGCTCGGCCTCCATCTCGGCCCCCATAAGCCCATAGGTTCTCGGCCTCCATAGGTTCTCAGCCTCCATAGGTTCTCGGCCCCCATAGATCCTTGGCCTCCATATCAGCCCCCATAGGAGGTTCTAAGTTCCCATAGGTTCTCAGGTTCTCGGCCTCCATAGGTTCTCGGCCCCCATAGGTTCTCGGCCTCCATATCGGCCTCCATACGTTCTCGGCCCCCATATGTTCTCGGCCCCCTGTAGGTTCTCGGCCCCCATAGGTTCTCAGCCTCCATCTCGGCCCCCATAAGTTCTCGGCCCCCATAATGTCTCGGCTTCCATTGGTTCTCGGCCCCCATAGGTTCTCGGCCTCCATCTCGGTCCCCATAGGTTCTTGGCCTCCATAGGTTTTCGGCCGCCATACTTTTTCGGCCTCCATTGGTTCTCGGCCTCCATCTCGGCCCCCATTGGTTCTCGGCCCCCATAGGTTCTCGGCCTCCATGGGTTCTCGTCCCCCACAGGTTCTCGGCCTCCATCTCGGCCCCCATCGGTTCTCGGCCCCCATAAGTTCTCGGCCTCCATTGCGGCCCCCCTAGGTTCTCGGCCTCCATACGCTCTCAGCCCCCACAGATTGTCGGCCTCTATCTCGGCCCCCATAAGTCCTTGGCCCCTTTAAGTTCTCGGCCCCCATAAGTTCTCGGCCCCCGCAGGTTCTCGGCCCCCGTAGGTTCTCGGCCAACATAGGTTCTCGGCCCCCACAGGTTCTCGGCCTCCATCTCGGCACCCATAGCATCTCGGCGCCCATCGGTTCTCGGCCGCCATCGGTTCTCTGCCCCCATAGGTTCTCGGCCTCCATCTCGGCCTCCATAGGCTCTCGACCCCCATAGGTTCTCGGCCTCCATAGTTGCCCCGCCCCCATAGGGTTTCGGCCTCCATCTCGGCCCCCATGGGTTCTCGGCCGCCATAGGTTTTCGGCTTCCATCTCGCCCCCATAGGTTCTCGGCCCCCGTAGGTTCTCGGCCTCCATCAGTTCTCGGCCCCCACAGGGTCCTGGCCTCCATCTCGGCCCCCATAGGTTCTCGGCCCCCATTGATTCTCTTTCTCAATAAGCTCTCGGCCTGCATAGGTTCTCGGCCTCCATCTCGGCCCCCATAGGTTCTCGGTCCCCCATAGGTTCTCGGCCCCCATAGGTTCTCGGCCCCCATGGGTTCTCAGCCTCAATCTCGGACTCCATAGGTTCTCGGCTCCATTGGTTCTCGACCCCCATACGTTCTTGGCCCCCGTAGGTTCTCGGACTCCATAGGTTCTCGGCCCCCATAGTTTCTCGGCCTCCATCTCAGCCCCCATACGTTCTCGGCCCCCGTCGGTCCTCTGCCTCCATAGGTTCTCGGCCCCCATAGGTTCTCGGCCTCCATCTCGGGCCCAATAAGTTCTCGGACACGGTAGGTTCTCGGCCCCCTACAGGTTCTCGGCCCCCATGGAATCTCGGCCTCCATCTCGGCCCCCATAGGTTCTCGGCCCCCTTAGGTTCTCGGCCTCCATAGGTTCTCGGACCCCATAGGATCTCGGCCTCCATAGGTTCTCGGCCCCCTTAGGTGCTCGGCCCCCATAGGTTCTCGGCCCCATGGCTTTTCGGCGCCGATATGTTCTCCGCCTCCATCTCGTCCCTCAGAGGTTCTCGGCCCCCATAGGTTCTCGGCCTCCAAAGGTTCTCGGCCCCCATAAGCTCTCGGCCTCCATCTCGGCCTCCATAGGTTCTCGGCCCCCATGGGTCCTCGGCCTCTATCTCTGCCCCCATAGGTTCTCGGCTCCAATCGAATCTCGGCCCTCCATAAGTTCTCGTTTCCATAGGTTCTCGTCCTCCATCTCGGCCCCCCTAGTATCTCGTCCCCCTTAAGTTCTCGGCTTCCATAGGTTCTCAACCCCCAGAAGTTCTCGGCCTCCATCTTGGCCCCCATCGGTTCTCGGCCCCCGTAGGTTCTCGGCCTCCATAGGTTCTCGGTCCTCACAGGTTCTCGGTCCTCATTGGTAAGCCCGGATCTCTGGGCCCCCATTGGCCCACAGAAAGCTCCAGCAGGGCCCCGAGAGGGCCCAGGAGGGCCCCAAGACGGCCCTAAGATGGCTCCAAGAGGGCCCCAAGATGGCTCCAAGATGATCCTAGCAAGTATCAGTTCCAACTCCGTCAGACGGAGTTGGACAAGGGTCTCGCGGAGTCCCTCCTGGACGCTTCGCTAGGCCCTCAGAAAGCTCCAGCAGGGCCCCGAGAGGGCCCAGGAGGGCCCCAAGACGGCCCTAAGATGGCTCCAAGAGGGCCCCACGATGGCTCCAAGATGGTCCTAGCAAGTATCAGTTCCAACTCCGTCAGACGGAGTTGGACAAGGGTCTCACGGAGTCCCTCCTGGACGCTTCTCTAGGGCCCTCAGAAAGCTCCAGCAGGGCCCCGAGAGGGCCCAGGAGGGCCCCAAGACGGCCCTAAGATGGCTCCAAGAGGGCCCCAAGATGGCTCCAAGATGGTCCTAGCAAGTATCAGTTCCAACTCCGTCAGACGGAGTTGGACAAGGGTCTCACGGAGTCCCTCCTGGACGCTTCTCTAGGGCCCTCAGAAAGCTCCAGCAGGGCCCCGAGAGGGCCCAGGAGGGCCCCAAGACGGCCCTAAGATGGCTCCAAGAGGGCCCCAAGATGGCTCCAAGATGGTCCTAGCAAGTATCAGTTCCAACTCCGTCAGACGGAGTTGGACAAGGGTCTCACGGAGTCCCTCCTGGACGCTTCTCTAGGGCCCTCAGAAAGCTCCAGCAGGGCCCCGAGAGGGCCCAGGAGGGCCCCAAGACGGCCCTAAGATGGCTCCAAGAGGGCCCCAAGATGGCTCCAAGATGGTCCTAGCAAGTATCAGTTCCAACTCCGTCAGACGGAGTTGGACAAGGGTCTCACGGAGTCCCTCCTGGACGCTTCTCTAGGGCCCTCAGAAAGCTCCAGCAGGGCCCCGAGAGGGCCCAGGAGGGCCCCAAAACGGCCCTAAGATGGCTCCAAGAGGGCCCCAAGATGGCTCCGAGATGGTCCTAACAAGTATCAATTCCAACTCTGTCAGACGGAGTTGGACAAGGGTCTCACGGAGTCCCTCCTGGACGCTTCTCTAGGGCCCTCAGAAAGCTCCAGCTGGGCCCCGAGAGGGCCAGGAGGGCCCCAAGACGGGCCTGAGATGGCTCCAAGAGGGCCCCAAGATGGCTCCAAGATGGTCCTAGCAAGTATCAGTTCCAACTCCGTCAGACGGAGTTGGACAAGGGTCTCACGGAGTCCCTCCTGGGCGCTTCTCTAGGGCCCCCAGAAAGCTCCAGCAGGGCCCCGAGAGGGCCCAGGAGGGCCCCAAGACGGCCCTAAGATGGCTCCAAGAGGGCCCCAAGATGACTCCAAGATGGTCCAAGATGGCTTTCTCGGGCCCTGAGGGCTTTCTGAGGTTCTCTTGGCCCCCATTGGTAACCCTGGATCAGCCCTGCTACGCCCTGCGAAGCCCTACTAAGCCCGATTATGCCCTGCTAAGCCCCGCTAAGCACCGCAAAGCCCTGCTTGGCCCTGGTAAGGGCTGGTACGCCTTGCTAAGCAATTCTATGCCCTGCTAGGCCCTACTAGGCCCTGGTAGGCCCTGGTCAGCCCAGGTACGCTCTGCTAGGCCTTGGTAAGCGGTGCTAGGCCCTGGCTCCTCCCCGAAGGCGCAGAAAGGGGGTTAGAAGGGGAAAGTTCCTAAACCGCCCACGCCCAGAGGGCTGGTTGGACTACTGGGGCATCGGCCCAATTTACGCCGCGTCCCTGGTCGGGCTGGGCCACGTCCTGCCGCATCTCCCACAGCTTGATGCCGAGGCGGTGGAGCTCTCCGACTGAGAGCGC